TGCAAAAGCTCTGTGCACAGCTTGGGTGGGGCGGGGTCTCAGGGAATCAACAGGGCAGAGCAAACAGCTATGGCTGATCCTCAGTCCTACCCTAAGAGGTCCCGGGTCTCAGTGTCCCGGTAATCGCTGCAAGCACCTCTGAGAGAAAGCCGCCCTCCAGTTCTGACTGATGCCAGACAGTCCAGTTTCTCCCCGTATGAGTCTGGGTCCCCAGAGACTCGCCTGGAACTGGAGTCAGGGCCATCGGGAGCTTGTGCCTCCCTCCCGATTGCTAAAGACACCGGCGTCCTCCGTTTCCAGCCCCTTTCCCCTCTTGATCCTCCGTACCTCTGCACTTTACTTACCCACCACCTCTGAGTCTCATTGTGCTTTTCTCTTTCCTTCTAGTTGTAGAATTTCCACTCAGCCAGCCTTCCTGTGGTTCTGTATGATGTCTGTTTTGTCTTTTAGTTGTATTTTTGAAGTGGTTGTGCCAGGCAGCAATTTCCTGTGTTTACCTATGCCGCCATCTTGGTTTCCTGATCTGACTTTGTGTTTTAAAAATTTATTTTGTACTTGGAGGATATGACTATTTTTTCATTTTTTTAAAAAAATGAATGCTTTATTGTAGTATGAATATAACATTTTATAGGTGAAACTAAAGCCTCCACAAGCATTCCCCTCTCAACCTCCCTTTACAATATATTCCCTTCCCCTCTAATTATTGCTGTCTCAAATTTGGCATTTCCCATGTAGGAATTACATATATGATTTAAGTATGTTTTAATATTTAAATTGTGTGTATATATATATATATGTAATATATATATGTATATTTATATCCTATTGACTTCAGAGAGGAAGAAAGAGGGAGAGAGAGATAGAAACATCAATGATGAGAGAGAATCATTGATTGGCTGCCTCCTGCAAGCCCCACACTGGGGATTGAACCCACAACCTGGGCATGTGCCCCAACTGGGGAATCGAACCAGTGACCTCTTGGTTCCTGGGTCTATACTCAAGAGCTGAGCCACTCCAGGCCTGGTTCTTTATATATTTTGTATATAGATCTTTTATACATATATTAGATATAGTTTTTTCACCTAGTTTTGGGTTTTCCTTTTAATTTTGCTTGTAGTGATTTTTGGGGTATATTTTGTCCGTTTGATATAATTTAAATATATTAGCTTTTTAAAAAATGGTTTTTGTTTTTTGTTTCTTATTTAAGAACAGTCACTTTAACTTAAGTTCATAGGATATTATTCTGTTTCCTTCTAACATTTTTAGTAGTTTTCAAATGTGTGTGTGTGTGTATGTGTATATGTGTATATATATATATGTGTGTATATGTGTATATATATATATTTAAAATATATTTCTATTGATTTTAGAGAGGAAGGGAGAGGGAGAGAGAGAGACATCAATGATCAGAGAGAATCATTGATTGGCTGCCTCCTCACTGGTGACTGAGCCTGCAATCTGGACGTGTGCCCCCACCAGGAATCGAATCGTGACCTCCTGGTTCATACAACCACTGAGCCACACCGGCTGGGCTCAAATGTATATTTTTAAGATATATACAATTTATTTCTGTGTACTGTGTGAAGTAGGAATGTGATTTATTTTTTTTCAAGACTACCATTTGTTTAGACTCCATTATTGGATGTTTGTCCTTTCCTTACTGTTTTGAAATGTTACTTTTAGGTCCTAGCTAGTTTGGCTCAGGGATAGAGCATCAGCCTGTGGACTGAAGGGTCCTGGGTTCGATTCTGGTCAAGGGCACATGCCTGGGTTGTGGGCTCGATCCCCAGTAGGGGGTGAGCAGGAGACAGTCGATCAATGATTCTCTCTCATCATTGATGTTTCTTTCTCTCCCTCTCCCTTCTTCTCTGAAATCAATAAAAATATATTATAAGTAAGTAAATAAATAAATAAATAAAATGTTACTTTAAGCATATACTAAACTCACATATATAATTTAGACTATTTGTGGACCAGTATTATACATTTTTAATTTCTATAGCTTTAAAAGGCTATTATAAGTCTTTATGAGAAATCCTTGGGGTTAAGATGTGATATTAGAATCTATATTTTCCCCCAGTAGTATCCAATGGGCATTATGCAGTATCCTGTAAGTCCTACATATTATTTCTTAGTGAAGTGTATGAATAATCACAGTAAGTGAGATGCATATAAAAAACAAGTGACCTTAGATCAGGTCAGGTTTTGCTCCTAAGTGAGTTAAAAAGAAAAAAACAAAATACTTTTCAGACATTTTGGATTTTTGGATTGCAAACAAAATGGACCTGTAATTTATCTTGCTATTTAGGGGACATATTCCTTCTTTTTCTTTTATTTCAGGTTGTTTGGTTATTCTTGTATCTCTACTTTTCTATTTGAATTTTAGAATCAACTTTAGAGTTATGTTAAGAATCTTGTAGAGATTTTCATTGGAATTTGAAGTAGTTGGGGAAGAACTGACCACCTTTACAGTGTTTGTGTTCTTATCCATGAACATGGATATCTTTCCTTTTGTTCAGGTGTCGTTTCAGTAAAGTTTTGTAATTTAAAAAAAAAGCATACCTTTTTTGTTAGATTTATATCAAAAATTGTTTTATGGTTACTATTGTGAATGAACTTTAAAAAAATTATATTTTCTAGTTACTATTACTAATGTGCAAGAAAGTATTGCTATTTATATATTAATCTTGTGTCTGACAAACTTGTTGGGTTTTATTATTAGTCCTAATAACTTTTCATTTTATACTCTTGGGTTTCCAGTTAGAAAATCATATCTCCAAATAGTTTTTTCCTTGGCAATCACTTTTTCATTTGCTTGGTATGGTTTCAATATTCAGTTTTTGGGAAATGTAAAATATTTATAGAATTATGTTTACTATGAAATAAATTGTGCTGTAAACAAATTTTGAATGCATGAGTAAATAGAAGATAGAAGGGAGAGCTTCCTCAAGTGGGGGTAATGAAGTGTTTCTTAGAAGGGAAATGGTTATTATTGGAGGATTTACTGTGTTATCTTCTCATTACAGATATGGTGTAAGATATTTCTTCAAGACTGGACAGCTGAGGACCTGTTATTTCTGATTTGCCTTAAGCAAACTTACAGCCATATAGAAACCTCACGGAGTTATATATTTTGCTCTCTGCTTTATACCTTTCCTGGTACATAAATTCATCTTGCAGTCATGTATGGAAGTGCTCGCTCAGTTGGGAAGGTGGAACCGAGCAACCAGAGCCCTGGGCGTTCACCTAGGCTTCCACGTTCCCCGCGCTTGGGCCATCGTCGAACCAATAGTACAGGAGGGAGTTCTGGAAGCAGTGTTGGAGGTGGCAGTGGGAAAACCCTTTCAATGGAGAATATCCAGTCCTTAAATGCTGCCTATGCCACATCTGGCCCTATGTACCTATGCACTGGCCTTGAGGTGTGTTCTTAACTGGACAAAATTATACCAGCCAACACTTCATACCATTATATGAGTGAACCCCACTCCCAAAGTAGTCCCCCAAGCATAAAATATTAGAAATAATCTAATAGTCTGCCTCAGGGGTCTTATCATGCTCTCTATTTTCTGTGATGCTAGCCAGAGGAGTTTGTATAATGGCATCTGTGACATTTGTAGGCTTAAATCTGTGACAATTTGTAGGCTTAAACGCGAAATCAATGGGCTGTGCAGAAGGCCAAGGAGCAAAGTGGTCTTGCCAAATATCAGCCCAGATCACTGCCCATCTCAGGCCTTTGTTAAGATAAAAGACTTGCTTTCCACCTAACTAAAAAAAAGTACGTTTGGAGGGACATGGTATCTGTGCATGGCTTGCACTCAGTGCCACGAAGATTGATCTTGATTAGTGAAACCCTTGTGACCTCTCATCCTTATCCACACTTACCTATTCACTTGTGCATCTCTTTAGAGCTCTTTAAGGCAAATATTTAAATGCTGCCTATGCCACATCTGGCCCTATGTACCTAAGTGACCATGAAAATGTGGGTTCAGAAACACCTAAAAGCACTATGACACTTGGCCGTTCTGGGGGACGTCTGCCTTATGGTGTTAGGATGACTGCTATGGGCAGTAGCCCTAATATAGCTAGTGGTGGTGTTGCTAGTGACACCATAGCATTTGGAGAGCATCACCTCCCTCCTGTGAGTATGGCATCTACTGTTCCTCACTCACTTCGTCAGGCAAGAGATAACACAATCATGGATCTGCAGACTCAGCTGAAGGAAGTATTAAGGGAAAATGATCTCTTGCGGAAGGATGTGGAAGTAAAGGAGAGCAAATTAAGTTCTTCAATGAATAGCATCAAGACCTTCTGGAGCCCAGAGCTGAAGAAAGAGCGAGCCCTCAGAAAAGATGAAGCTTCCAAAATCACTGTTTGGAAGGAACAGTATAGAGTTGTGCAGGAGGAAAACCAGGTTAGTTTTTTTTCCGTATGTTTGCTTTTACTGTCTAAATTCATGCATATAAGTGAAATGAACCATTCTTTTTTTCCTTTCTTAGGTTTTTCCCTTCTTGGTACATTTATCTTCCTGATTATTATTTAATTTAATATTTTCTATTCTCTGTTTGTTAGCTTTTCCCAGGTTTGGTCCTTTGCCTTGATTATTTTTTATTTTTTTGGTTGTCATGTCCTCTTGGCAATAATGAGGAGCAGTTCTTTCTGTGGACATTCATGATAGTTTAACTTAAGGATGCTTATGTAATTTTTTTTTAGTTCTTTAACAAATTTAAGGTGGAAGAAAGACAACTTGGTGTGATTGTGCTTCTAGAAAATAAATATAACGAGGCATAATTATGGGCTTTGCAGTTTAAGAGCTAAGTTAAGTGCTGTCTTATCCTTTTTTTTTTTTAATGGTTAACATAAATCTTTATTGAGAAATTATAGGGGATAGGGAGGATGGGGACCAACATACCCACAGTACTGGTCCCCTAGGCTGAGCTGAGAAGAAATAAATATAATATCGTGATAAGGGAGAGCATACTGGGCAATATTAAATGAGAAAATACAAGTAAATATATCATAGAGCAAGCCTGACTCTTTGTAAGCTAACTCTTCTGCAGGAGCTGTGTGGACCCTAATGCTTAGGAGGAGAAGACAGCAATGGCAAGAGGGAGGGGCCAGAAACCAGGTTGTGCTCCTTCTATGCATCAGATCCCCTGACAGTTCAAATGATGCTCCCAATCTCAGGCTTCAGGGACTCCTCCCTCAGGTCATCTACCTTGAGACTCAGGCAAATTTAACTGATTCCAAGTCCCACCTGAACTCAAACACAGGTGTGTTCTGCATTTCCTTCCTCCAGCTGACTACTAGTGAGGACTGACACCATCTACAAACATCTGTAAATCTGGAACTGCTGGAATAGAAATAGGGACTTT